GAGTACTCGCAGCATTTTATTTCAGCCACCATTTTAAAAATCTGCATCCGAAAAGCAGTTTGTTTTGTGTTCACTGTACTTCCACACATCAGCAGGGAAGAAGCAAGCATACATGTTGTATAGTCGCGCAAAAAAAATGGCTTGCACAGAAACATTTTACTTCCTTGAAAAGAAGTTCCTGGGACTAAAAGTTCTAGGTAGTTTGGGTGGAAACGCGTCCTACAGGCTTCCATGTAACAACAAGCTATAATGATTAACTCGTGTTCATGGAACTGTCTGTGACTGTGTACTGTGCTGCTGAGCCTTACAGTTGAGTTAATCATTAGACCAGCACTGCTAAATACCTCTGCTGCTGTTACATGAGAGAAACACCTTGACCCAGCAGGGCCTCAACCCAACACACCAACAAACACTCAGCACTTCAAATGGTCTTTTTCAAAGTACTGAGCTTGTTTCCTTCCTGTTGGCATTTTTGTTTGTAAATGCAAACTTTTTCTTATTAACAGTATTGCTCCTTTTACAGTCAGACAACATCATGACAGACAGTCACTGTCAAATCAACCAATCAGGGTTGGCACTAGCATTTGTTCTGTTTGAGGAAACTGTCTTATTTCCACAGACAAAACCATGATGTTTTATCTCGCTTTCATTGAATCAGTTTTACAATTTTCTTTGGTGTCATGGTTAGGAAACCTTTGATTTTAGAGCCTTTTATCTTTACCCTTTACCATTTATCATATACATTAATAAATAAACAGTGTAATACATTGAACTGATCAGCCAGGTGTTTAGAAGTACTGCAGATCACCAAAGATTTCAGAATGAGGAAGATATCTGGTCTGGTTCAGCTTCGTGCTGGCCAGCCCCGTTCAGCCCTCCACCCTCACCTGTTCCGCCTCCTGGCTGCTCCTCAGCGTACAGCTCTTCCTCCTCTCTGCTGGACCATTATGTTCTGCAGTGTGGGCCCCCCTCCGACTATCCCCCTGGGAGCCCTTGGCACTAGAGAGACTGGTGGAGAATAAAAGAATATATTACATATAATATACATTTTCCACACTTTGATCTATATAACTTTAAGTGCTGTTGGATATGGAAGTAAACAACTTTGCCTGCATTCTTCCTAAAACAATACCTATTGTTCTGTCTAACATATAATATGGTAGACTTACATTATTATTTGCTGCGGTCATGTTCTACTTTAATAATGGGGATGAGAGTATTTGACACAGATCAGACCACACAGTCTACTTACCCTTGACATGGACTCTTGGTCCCGTGCTTTTTCTTGTATCCCTGAACATACGACTCTAAATATGAGAGAAACATCCACAGAGCTCTGTTACACCTGCACAACTGTCAATCAACATTAAAAACACATGCAACTCATTCTTCTCTAATTTTTAATGTGAAAGGAGACATAAACAGGGAAAGACTATTATGTAAAGTAGGGCATAACAAATGTAACTTAAACACCACCTGTTGCCATGGCATCAATATATTGTTATAGCTGCTGCCAGAGCACTTTTATTCTAAAAGAGGCGATTTGGGGAAAAGTGTTTGGAGCAGTTAATAAATATAATACAGTGTTCACTAGAGCTGCAGTGACTGATCCATTAGTTGTTGACTATTTTGATTTTGATTTATCATTTTGAGTCATTTTAAAGAAAAAATGTCTAAATTCTCTGCTTTCAGCGTCTCAAATGTAAATATGTTTTGGTTTGTTTGGTCCTCTATGTCAGTAAACTCAATATGTTTGAGTTGTGGACAAAACAAGACGAGTGTGGACGGATTTGGGAAACAGTGATCAACATGTTTCACCATTTTCTGGACCAAACAACTAATAGTTAATTTTCAGGATATTTGGTCGTTGTAATCAATTTCCAGGTGTTTAAACCAGTCTCTAAATGTCCAGGTTTTCCAGGACGTGTGGGAAACCTGATTACACAAACATTAAGAATTTGGTGATGAGGCTCATTTAATTTGTTTTAATGACTGAATGATCTATGAGCAGTATAACATTATTGAGTACAGCATTAATCTAATGCACAAAAGATCTTCAAGCATTGACAATTCTGATGCAAGTATGAGTCAGGCCAGGGCTGCGGTTACTGCTGCTCGACCTGAACGCAGTCCAGCACATGATCGGGCAAATATAGCCGTGAAATATGAGGATTTGAAACAGACTCAGCCTTTCCAAACGACCTCCAAAAATAAACTCTAGTTAACTGTTCATGTTTTCTGCGTGGCTCCGGCTACCACTGCAGCCCTGGTCAGCGGGCTGCTCCTTTGCTTTGTCCGTACGTACAATCAGCCCACATTTACTGATTATACATGCTCTTGTGCATTTCTTTTGTCCTCTTCGCTGCTCCCTCCCTGCCACTACTACTCTCCACAGAGGAAAACTCTTGTCAGGAATAAAAACAAACTGTGGGAAAATGAGTGGAATCATTTCCCTTCCTCTCACCTTCCTCCTGGCTGGAGGCATCGGAGCAGTCTCCTTGGTAGGCCTTACCCAGTGGGCAGTTGCCTGTAAAGAAAAAGATAACTTTGGTTCTGACAGCAGTAATCACATTTTGGACATGGCAATATTGTCACTATTCATATTTGTATATATTGTCTCCTTTTATTGCCTCTATTTTTATCTTTATTTTTCTATGTTTAATTGTTTTGCACCAGTTTATCAAGGCAAATTCCTCAATAAACCTTATTCTGATCTGATACTATTAAATGATAGTATTGTATCATTTTGTACATGTGGTAATGAAAAAGTATCAAAGTATTGATTATTTTGACATCCTTAGTGGTTGGATCCTGAGTAATGTGTGTGCTGAAAGTCAAGATAAATTCTCCCTTATAAAGTCATATCAAGTAGTATTAAGTAGTCATATTAGTCTTATTAAATAAGCAATTTATAGGCTTTGTTCAAGTAAAACATTATAAAAACGTGAGGAATACAAATTTAATTTTATATCATGTGGTTTTGAAAACTGGTAATTAATCTACTCTAATGTGGTTACTGCCAGGAATGTACAGTATACAATGATTGTTTTATGATGCTTGTGTAATTTTTAGTGTAAACAAAAATGGTTTATTTCCTCATGGCAGCATGAGGTAGAAACGTTTCTATATAGGTTAATAATACAAAAACAAAAATATATATAAATCTGGAGAATAAGATTTGTAGGCCAGAGCATCTCTTCAGAAATACAGCACTTCATTATAATGCTGTTTGTCACATATTTTACCTTTATCAAATAAATTGTAGCTTTTGCAATTTGCATATTGTGATTTTAAAATTATTTCCATTAATTGTGCAGCACTAGTGTGTTTGAACAGCATTTAATGCATCTCTAACAATTAACTATCTAATATTTTAAATGGTCAAAGAAAACCGCAGTGCACTGGCACATATCATGAACTGTTAATAAGAAAGAAAGCCAATTTAATAATGATGCTAAGAAAATAAAATGAGACCGCTGTTTTAAGAACAATAGTGCCTTTGTTCCACATGTGTTCTGGCCATAAATGGTAAAATACTGCAGAGATGTTCTCCTTACAAAATCCAATTTTACAGTTAATTTATTTACTAATCTGAAACAACATGAGAACTGAAGTGAAAATAAAAATGGATCAAAGACATGCAGTGGTTGCTAACTTTCTCTGAAACAGAACATGAGTACATGGTGTCCTTGTAAGGAGGTCAGATAGGACAACTGAACAGCGTAAGCGTTAACCATTCTAAGAGCTGACTTTAAAAGCTGTCAGAACAGGAAGCATGTATGAAAAATGAGCACATGATATAAGGTGAAAAAACAATCCTTATAATTACACCTTCATGGACATTGGCGTCTGATACTCACATCTGCAGCTAGCAGGTTTCGCAGAGTAACTGGAGTCACAATTGAAGAAGCTGCAGACCTTTCTGGTCTGCCTGAAGACTGGAGGAGCAGACAGGAACCTTTCCCTGAAGAGGCAGAGACAGAGAGTAAGGGAAACTTGGCTGTCATGGTTTTTCTCTTAGGAGGATTAATACACGAGGCAGCAGAATAACTACAATACATTTGTGGTAAAACCTTACTTCAATCTTACATATAATTCTCCAACAACCATCCAAACATTTTTCCTTTAATTTTCTTAACATATTATGCAAATTCTTGACACTTGGGAAACAGCAATGGCTAGACGATTATTCAGTCCTTCACTAAAGTTCTCAAAGCAAGGCTCTGGCCGGGACTAATTTTGAGTGTAAAATTCAATATATAATAAAGAAATAAACATATTTATTTTTGTATCTGTAAGTATAAGTGTACATATTTGTCACAGTGTCTGGCTTTGTGTGGCTAATGAAGATCAAACCATAGCAACACACCTGTCCCAAACATGCAAATTAGACCTGAATCAAAATGCTTGCAATGCCAGTCTACTGTCGTTACACCAACATACGACTGTTGTTAAAATAATTCAAGGAAAAAGCTTTCTCTGGCAACAGTGAAGCACAGACCCATAGAAGGGGAGGGGAGAAGAGCAAGAAGCACAGAATCCCAGTGTGGCCTGGCCTACCGATGAAAAGCCAGAGTTTCACTTTCCACAGTTTCACTTAGCACAAAATGAAACTGATGGACGCCATTGTATGAGCGAGTGTTTGTGATTTGTGTATCGCTTAAAGGGCGTAGTTGGATTGAATATCAGTGGTCCCATCCAACCATGACACACACACACACACA